GAACTGAGTACTTAGGGTATAAGTTTTGAAAGAAAAAGTGTCTTTTTGTACACGAGGGTCTAATTTAGATCGAACCATTAGATCGAGTCCAAACTTGTTCTATTAGCTAGTATATTGGTTAAGCTTCGTGTGTGTGCTTGAATCACTCTAATTAGACATTGGATGTTGAAATGGCATGCGGCAGAAGTTTATCTTCCCAAGTATCATATGACAGTAGAGATTGCTGTCATATGTGCCACGATGCACAGTTTGCCAAGTTGCGGCATATGGCACAGACAAAAACAGAGCACGTTGCTCTATACTGCATGCTGCATCGTATATGGTACAAGCCACGGTCCATGGCCCTTTTTCAAGGTTGAGATGTGTCTTGCTAAGTCTTATGAATGTGTTTGCACTTTCACTAGCCCTTTTATTTGAATATATATTTTAAGAAGTCATGAACTCATGATTTGAAAATAAATAGAAGGCTATTACTTTGATTTTGATTTATTGATTGTGTGATTTTTGAATGGTAAAGCTCGGATTAAGTTGAGACTTTATAGTTTGGTATCAGTCTTCTTTAGTTTTGGTCTCTTTGTGCATTGCATGACATTAGTTGGCAACTTATATAAATTTATTACTCTTTTTCGGCCTTTAACCACCTATTTACTAACTATTTTCTACCTTTAGTCTAAAGGAGGGGAGAAGGGTATATGAAGCTACAGTTATCCTATAGTAGCTATGAGGACATGATAGAATTCCACGACACATACGGGATCAGAATGCCCAAGATGTGCAAGATTTGGAGGTACCGCCAGAACAACCCTAGGGTAATGACCCTATAATGGCACATATGCTGGAAGTAATGCTGGACATTCAGCGAAGACTAGTTGGCCATGATGCTCTCAATTGTAATACAGATCATGATCAGCCAAGGCTAGAGCAAAAGGCAAGGCTTGAGGTTGAAGGGAGAATAGAATATGAGCAACAACTTGGGATACAATTGAGTAGGACAGCAACCTCCCATGCATTAGGGAGTAGGCTAGTGACCGGTAGGGAAGATCAGGAGATTACGGTGGAACAAGTTTAGAGGACATCTTCACAGTTGAATTAGCTTACCTTTAATGGTAGTATGAGAGAGGGAGATGTGGAGAACTAGATTTAAAGAATGGAAACAATCTTTGAGGTTACTCCGTGTTCCTCTAAGCAAAAAGTGATATTACCCATAGTACAATTGATAGAAGATGCCCAACATTGGTGGCATTCATTTAAACCCTCTGGTGGTAGTCAGCTCAATTATGCAATAAAGCTATTATGACCAGCAATAGTAATTAAAGCATACAATTTAGAGGTGGAGAGAAGAAGTACAAATTGGAATAAAGCTAAAATAAAATCTTTCCTGAATATTAAAGACTTTGATCAAAGTTTAGGATCATGGTTTGTGATTGTGCATATCAAAAAAATTAGCTCTCCATAAAATTAAAAGTCAAATAGCAAAAATGAGCAGCCATCGATCAATAAAATTGAAGGAAAGAAGATGAAGGATGATCGCCTCTACTGCCAACTCCTTTCCCTTCTTTTCATTAAAAAGCCGTGCTCTCCCTCTGCTACGTCTCAACTATTTATAAATAAAACTTAATAATTTAATAAAATAACAAAACTATCCTAAATAACCCTAATTAAAAACTACAATAAAAAACCAAAATATATATAACTAAAATTTCTGCAATTTGATTCTTGACTTGATCTTTAAATATACCCATATTCTTCTTATCCAAAATAATTTCTATCAATATCTTTCAAATTAGATCCGGAGAATCTGCACAAATAAAATAAAATTAAGTAGCAAATGTGGAAAAATATCAACTATATCATTTATATTTTAAAACTCAAGATTTAGGTAGTTAAAATTCAAAAGTTGAGGATTAGCTAATAAAATCAAATAATATCCAATTAAACTCAATTAGCCTCAAATAAATATTTAAAAGTTTAAATTAAAAGGATAAAAATACATAAAATTGACATTTATCAACAAGTAGAATGTGTCATGTATTTTGCTTGTTTTGAGCCATATTTTTTTCATGATAAATAGGGAGAATGGAAAAAAAAAACCCAAAATATGCAAATGATAAAGAAGTACTGAAAAATGTGATAATAATACAGTGTAGTTTCTAATGACTTATCTGACATATTAGTTTTTAATGAAATGAAAAAATTGTCTCTAATTTAAAAATCTGAAGTATAATGAAATATGTGAAGGACAGTGACTACTTAAGATCATAGAGAGTGACAACTTCTCCTTAGCAAATAACTAAAACCTAAATGCAAATTAAAAGTACTTTACTGTTATTTTTTTTATCGGTAAATTGAAATATGTAGAGGACAATGACTACTAAAGAATAGGAAATGACAATTTTTATTGGACAAATGACTAAAAGCTAATAGTAAATTAGAATAATGAAAGGTGATTTGTTTGATAAAAGCATTTATTGATAAATAGTTCTTTTTTTTAATAAAAATTCTCACCATTCTTAATCTAAAATGACAAACAAATAAAAACTAAATTTAAATATATAAAGATAACAAAAAATGTAAAAAATAGGGATGAGATTTCACACTCAATTGAAAAGCAAAATTTTAAGACAACAATTAATGCTAATATTTTGCAAGAATCAAATTAACATTTACTTTGGACATCAATAACATTGTTAGTCATACTCTAATTAAATTACCAGTAATTATCATATATCGATCTTGAATTAGGTCCTTCTAGTTTATTTTATTGACCATTTAAATATATTAATCCCTAAGGTTAAAATTATTAATGAATGATTAACTTTTCAAAAACAAAAACACTTTTAGATTTTATAGACCAATTGATTTAAGGGAAAATTATGTACACTGGAGCATACTTGTTTACAAATAAGTCTATGAAATTTAGAAACCCCAGCCAGGTTCTTTGCGACCTAAGTGTAATTTAAAATTGTGGTGTAAAGACAATACTATCCTTACTTGTAATGCATGATTAGTTTAACTGTTGGATATGTGAAGTAATAGTTATAAAATGTTTAAGTGATAAATGTAAATTATTGATGTGAATAACCAGTGTTAAACTTTGTTAGTAACACATGATTGGTTTAACTATTAGATATGTAAAGTTACAGTCGTAAAATATTGAAATGAAAATTGTAAATTATTAATGAAGTAAGTGAAGTATGATCAATTTAATTATTAGATATGTGATTTTATAGTTATAAAACATTAAAGTGATAGTTATTAATTACTAATGAGGTAGTTATATATAATTAGTATTAAACTAATAATGCTAGATCAATTTAACTACTGGATATGTGAACTTATAGTTGTTAAAAGGTGAAGTGATTGTTGTAAATTATTGATGAATTAATTGTAAATTACTTGATTGGTGTAATGTATTTTTAATAGGGGTATTATTATCTTTGTACATTAATTTTAAATTATACTCAAGTCCCAAGAAATCTAACTGTGATTTTTGAATTTCACAAGACTTATTTTTATGTAAATCTTATCCATGAGATCTATATATAAGTTTCCCTTGATTTAGTACTTTTCGCCAAAAAACCAAAAAGAAAAATGGATAAATTAGCTTACTAGCGAAAAAAAGAAAAAAACTTGTACCCAACAAATATAGACCAAATTTTTGAAAATTTGGGAGTGTGGCCTATTCACATTGACATACAAAGGGTTTATCATTGAAAATTAAAAAATTTACAAGAGGTTTATCATTAATATATAAGGCATATCATTTACAAATATAATAAATTGGTCATAATACAAAATATAATAAATATTTGGTTATTTGCTTGGTTTGGTCTTGTTAAACGGGCTAGATCTGCAAAAGCCCCAAGAAAAATTTATCTAATACAATGTTTAATTTTTAAGAAAACTCTCTCTCTCTCTCTACACACACACACACACAAGTTATTTTAAAAACATAACCTAATTATATAAATCTTAAGTTATACAAATCATGTAATTAATTCTAAAGTTATATAATATTTTAATAAAAATATAAAAATTCTTAATTTTATTTTTTAAAAGACAAAATAAAAGAATTTAAACCCTTGGGATTAACATATTTAATTGATAAAACCATAAGGGTTTAATTAAGACAAAATAAAATATAAGGACTTCATTTAAACTTGAGAAAAAGTAGAGGGACCTGCAGATTAATTTTTCCATTATATTTTGAATTACGTGCTTAATTGAAGGAAAAAAAAATCATTACGTACTTAATTAAACGCATTAATTCCCTTTAAACCAACTCAGTTCCTCTTGCAATAATTATGGTTCTATATGCCAATATCGATCCACTGAACTTTTTCTTTCCCTATGTGTCTGTGAAAGAAAGTATAATTCTGATATATCCGCAAACTAATTTGATCAATTATTCGATTTGTGGGAGGAATAATAGATCATTTTCATTTAGGTTTAGGAGTAAATTACTATCCACTCTCGGAAGAAATGCATACCTAAATTATGGATATATTCTCTCTGAACATAACTATGATAAAATTAATTTTCAAGCCTTTATAATTTTTATCAATTTTAAATTGGGATCCTGTAATTTATTTTGTTTTACTCCATTCCTTGCAATTTGATCCACTAACTATATTAGTTTTTCAAGGTTAAAATTATTAATGAATGATTAACTTTTCAAAAACAAAAACACTTCTTTTGAAGTTTATAGAAAATTTAATTCAATACTTATTGCCAAAATAGAAAAAATGGTTTGCTACAATGTTTACAGTACTTTTTCTTAATTATTATAAATATTCTAAATGTATTAAAAAATTTTAGGGACATAATTTAATTATATATATTTTGAATTAAAAAAGTTATATAATTTTTTTAATAGACATGTAAAAGTTCTTAATTTTTTTCAAAAAAAAATTGAAGGATTTTAATTCAGTGATTAACAAATCTAATAGATTAAATTGTAATGACTTGATTAAAATAAAATGAATTATAAAGACTAGATTTAAAATTAAGAAAAATTATAATGACCTACACATTAGTTTTCTCAGTAACTACATAATTGCACAAGCTTCTATAAGTCTGAAGATTTGACAAAAGTACCCTAATAATAATATTGAAATCATTTAAGATAGTTTGGACATGTATAAAGAAGACCACCAGAGGCACCGATGAAGAGAGTGAAATTAATAATTTTGAGCCCTGTTAAGAAGAGCAGAAAAATATCAAAGAAAACACTTATCAAAGTTATTGTCAATGCCCTTTAGTTAACAAAATTCCTAAAAACTTGGCAAAAGTTAGAACATAATGGTGTCATACAATTTATGTAGCTGATTCTAACTAATGAGATAAGGTTTGTAGTTACTGCTATTTGCTGTAACCTAATAATTTCAATGATTTTCTATTTTTTTATTACAAAACTATCTACATTTAATTTAGAAAGAAAGACCAGATGGTAACAAAGTTTAAAAATTTCTTATATTAAGACGGATCGATCATGATATAACTGCAATCCTTTATTATTTAATTACGTAAATTGGACTCACATGGCGGTGCACGTGCTGCTCTCTTTATGTATGAGTATTAACTTTTCTTCACCAGATCATCCATTTCGCTAGCATCAGATCCCTAACTGTATAGAGGCAGAAAACACTAGATTTAATATTTGAATAGTAGCACTATAACATATATATATATATATATACATACATATACAGCAAGAGATCTTGATTGTTAATCAAGTAAGATTTTTGGCACACAAAAACTCATCGTCACAAGAAAAAATCCGTCAAAAGCTATTTTTGCAATAGAATCTGCCGTTTGCCAATTTGGTTGTGGCAAATCTTTTGCGTTAGATTTGCAAATTTTCTATCACAAAACAATGATGGATCAAGGACGGATTTGCAGTGCAATGATTTTTTTCACCGCTGCTAATTTTCTGTTTTTCTAAGCTACGGTATCCTAGTTAAGACCCAAACTAACCCGGATAGAGCCAGGACGATAGCTTTTCAGCAGAAGCTGTTGCTGCATTCTCAAAATTCGAACTTGAGACCTTTACAGGTATAACTATTTTACTAGTTGAACCAAAGGTCTCCGGTGGTTTTGTGTCTGTGTTATTAATTGTCAAGTTTTTCCCAATCTCTTATATATATATATATATATATATATAATTGTCTGTTGATTACTCACAGTCCGTGAGCTTTGAGCATCTGCCGTTGATTACCTCGCCAAAGCAGGTGCTGTCACGATAGTATTTCATGCTTTTTCTTTTAATCAGTGTGAGAATGTGGAATGAAAATTATGGCAAATCAAGGGAAGAAAGATAACAATATTTTCCCCCTAATAAACAGACAAAAATGGAGTATAGGGACAAGTGAGAACGTGCATACAAGTACCTGCTAAAAAGTACAAAACTCTGAGCAATAACAATCTTCAAAGGAGGAATCTTTTCACTAAAATATTTTCATGTCAATGGCCAAATTAAAGCGAAACAAATAATTTTATTGCATTTGTCTCTTTTTGATTATCAGAAGACCAGATGTGTTGAAAAGGGTATTGAAAAATCGAAAGGATTAATTATAGAAGTCAAGTCGTTCGGACCCGGCATCCACTTGGAAAACAAAAGACTCCAGTTTGGTGAAGTGGAATCAATTTTCCCCTCTTGGCCTGTGCGAGAAGGAATCATATGAAACGGTCCCCAAGTCACATGAATAACCAAAACAAAAAGGTCTTATTGTCATAGTGTACATTCTTATGGATATCAGTTTTTGTTTTGTTTGTCTGGTAAGTATGGAATTAATTCAATCAAATAAACAAACACTAGCACATGGAGCTATAGGGTTTTAGTAAGCTGATAATGATTGACGTTAAATTAATGGTTGTTTGCTGAACATAGAGAAACACATATATGACAACTTTACAGGTTATAACTAGGAAAGTTCAAGGAGACGAGGTTAGCTCCAGATCAGCAGAAATTTATGATTTGGAAGATTCAATGTTGGCAGAATAAATTAGTCAGTTGGGCATCTGATTTAAATTGTTCAGATCATATTTTGACAGGCAGCTTATTTTTTTAAAAAGTAAATAATGAAATAAGAAATAATAAAACACTGAACCATTCAAAAATGATTTAAATGGTCAAGATCTGGTGTTCACTTCTTAAATAGGAGATTAATATATAGCAGATCCATTTGCTTGTTGACAGTCAAACCCTTCTTTCTTTGTTATTAATCAAACAACTTAATTATCTGATTTTAAATTAAATATGAAATTTGCAAGTATAGAACGAGATCAATTGGCATTTATTAGGTTTCAAATATTTTCTCATATTTACAGATAATTACCAATTACAAAAAAGGGAAAATATCACCCAAAGACCCCTACAGCCTTTTGATATTAAAGAAATACCTTGTAATTTTGAAATATCACTGCACCCCTAGGACTAAACTAAAAATGAGATTTAGATAAGAAAAACCTGATTACCCCTGTCACTAATATCCTACAAGTTGTAATTGACATTGTCTATATGTCACGCCCTAAAAATTAGACATGACCGGCATGAGATATATACATAAACATATATCCCTTAAGCCTTGATTAAGGAAACTTTAATTCATTCAAAATAGGATAAGAAATCATTGTAACATTTTTTTTAAATAAAATAAAATAAAATAAAAGATTCTTAATTTTTTTTTTTAACAAAACCTCCTCGTAAACATAGAACCTCAAAAAATATTTCATCCCAATCTATGACATCAACTCAACAAAAGAGAGCTCCTCTCCTCAACAACAATCAAACAGCACAATATAAAATTAGGACTCTAATTATAATCTATGTGGAGCACCTAAAACATTATTTATAAAAATATAATATATAAATTATGAATTTACATCAAAATAGAAATTAACCAAAATGGTGTCTCAACTTCAGTCCCGAAGTAAATGCCTTCAAGGATCTAATGGAGGTACAAGGTCCGCTATGCTATCTGAGACCAAAAATATTTTTCAGTGAATAACGTCCCAACAATAAATAACTGAATATAAAAAATTAAACAATTATTTAAGTTAAAGAAGCAACGATTTTTATAAAAATTTAATAAACTTCAAAATAAAATGATTCTATAAAATTTTAAATAAAATCTCGAACAGTTAAAATCTCATAATAAATATTATTATCACTTGATTACAAGTAAGCAAATAACAAAATCAATAATTATAAATAATTCACTATTTAAAACCAGTGGGATGTAAGATTATCAAATAATCAAATTCATATAATAGGGACTTATCAGAACCATTAACAAACGTGGACACACAGTCCACGAGGGTAAATAACCAAACGCGGCTCTCGCCACGAAAACAAACGTGGACACACAGTCCACGAGGGTAAATAACCAAACGCGGCTCTCGCCACGAAAACAAACGTGGACACACAGTCCACGAGGGTACGTAATCAAACGCAGCCGAAGCCACAAAACAAACGTGAGTATGATGCTCACGAATAACCATCCCTCCGTTCCACATGCGTTGGCCATCGCACGGGGCTAGCACCTCCTATACACACCTTGCTAGCTAGGTGTACCATGGCGCGCCAAGGGCTAACGGAACTGCCGTTAGCAACCAGTGTTCTGTATAAAGCCCCCTTAAAATTCATTTTTTTCAAACATGCGAGAAAATCATCACCTTCAAAATAAACTTTTCTCTTCTCAATATCAAACTCGCATGAAGTGTTTAAAATATCAATCCTTTAAAGTATGAAGATTCACAACTAATGTTCCATAAATATCTTCACCCATTTCCATGATTGTCTTTATTGAATAAAAAAGTACTAGAATTTACAAAAGCATTTCTGCCAATCTTATAAGTATAAATCATGATAACTTCAAGAACTAAAGAAATTTAATCAACAATATTACTCAATGCTAGAGTGGCATATATTAATGACGGTAAATTATTGAAAATAATAGTTGATAAAAGGAAATTTTCAAATATATAAATTTATTGGGACGTTATCCACTTACCTGCAACATCTCCAAGCGCAAAATTTACCCTTTAAAGCTTCAATCCTTCCTTATTACCTTAATCAAGAATTTCTTTCTCTAAATCCCTATTCAATAATACAAAATTTAGTGACCTCTGCTCAAATTTAATAAACCCTCCTCTCCTAACATCATAGTCACTAAGTTCTTAAACCAATCCAATCGCTGCCTTTAATCAATCAATCCTTTCAATATTATACATACACATGTCACACTTCACAACTAGGCCAAATCAATTCAGGAAGTAGAATAGATAAATCTTAACTCCAATATTATTTTTCAAATATTGCCTCAAATATTGTACTAACTACATATAACCTCCATAATCATTAGTATTGCTTGCAATATACCAGTCAAACTCACAATAGTTTCATAATTGGCATTCTTCACAAAATTGAAGTTTCTTTTATAAATAATTAGCACCCAAGCCAAGTATGACTTCAAAAAGGTTAGTAAAAATTTTAGAAAATTATAACTAAACAAAACTCCTCCTAATAGGCATTTTATCAAACACCTCATAAGCATTAACACTAAAACTAATAATCCAAGGTTTTTTTTTTCCATTCCAATAACTTCCTCAGTACCTCAATACCAATTTTAAGTTCAACAACTTCCCAATTAAGCTCAAAGATAGTTAAATCAATTTATTCTTCCAGTGGAACCAATGTAAGTAAGAGAAATTAGCTACCAAAAACCATATTCTTAAGCTTAAATCTTGAATATGATCAGACTCCCTTCTACTACTCCAATCACACACAGCTACAACGAGAAAGAAATAAAAATCTCCAGCCATCACAGAACATCAACAACGCAGAAAGAAAGGGAAGAAAGTCATGAGCTGTACAGGGGAGAAGGGATTCGATGCAAACAAGCTACAACACAGTCAAAGGAGGAAGATTTTTGTCACTCCCCAGTCACAAGCCACGAACGAACAAGGTAAAAAAACAAGAAAGAAGATGATCTGAGTACTCACCTCCACACGGACAGCAAAAAAAAAAACACGAACAGAGGAGGAGAAAGAAAGGGTCGACGGAACAGGGGAGAAGACGACAGCCACTCACCAGCCTCCCTTTCATGAATCAGACCTCCAAAACTGTTAGACCAGTTCCTTGCGTGCTCACGATTCTTGAACGGAAAGAATGGAGGAGGAGAAAGAGGGTCCGACAACACCCACGACTGAAATGATCTGAGGATCAGCGATGAAATAGGATCCCGAGACCTGCTATCCGAATCTCATCTCTTGCTTGCACGGCTAGTGACCTTAAAAATGATAGAGAAAGGATGGAAAGTCGGATAATGGACGAGGACTCCCTCTCTCTCGCTGAATCTAGAATTTTCGACCATAGAGGAAAAGAGATATGTCGGTTAAAAAGAATGCTATTGCTCTCTGTTTTCCGCACGAAGGAGAGAAGAAAATATGAATATAAGAACAATCGAGAAAATTGCAAGAAAGGCCACAGGGAAAATTACAAAATGAGGCTCAAAATTTTTTTTTATAATTTAAAACAAAATAAAATCAAACTTTTTTTTAGTAGAATTCAAACCTTAAAACTTCAAAAAAAAATTACTAGCATAAGTTTCCTTAAATCACCACTTTTCATTTAAAAAAACTAATTTAAATAAAATATAAATTGAGAGAATATATATATATATATATTTGAAATTTTAAGGTTATTACACTATATATATATTGATAGTCACTTGTTAATTATGTATAGTAACTTGCAAAAAATCTGAATACATTGTTATATTTATATAAAAGTTAAGACTTGTAAAATCAAACCAAGCCTATCAATTTTTGTAACTTGTTCATGAATGAATGTCCACTCATTAATTACATCTATGGTAACTTGTCAGTATCCAAATCTTTTTTGTTTATACAAGATCAAACACTTGTACAATTAAATTAGGCTTGTCAGCTTTGTAACTTGTTCATGGATGAATGTCTTGCCTCTTTGCCACTTCATAGAGCATTTTGGCCAAACGCTCATTTGTGACAGCCTTTGATGGACAAGGTGTAGGTATTTCAAATTCAAACTAAGAAGGCTCTTCCATCTTTCTCTTTCCCTTCTTCTTTTCTTTCCTCTTTGCCTCAACCACAACCTCTTCATTAGCTTCTTTATCCAAAATCCAATCCTTGCCTTCCAAATGCATCTTAATCTTTAGCAAAACAACCTTATTGAATTCTTTTGTGTCCTCTTCCTTACCCTCCACATACTTGGTGTGATACCTCTTAAATATTTTGGATACAATGGGGGGGTTTACAATAACAATCTTTCCACCTTATCAGTAGCCCACTCCATTTAGTGAAGAATGAAATCACATAAATCGAATTTCTTACCCTTGATCATCATAGTCATTATCTCAAGCTCTGCCTCTCTCAGCACACTAAAAGCAGTACTCTATTTACAATGAATCTTGCCACAATATAGGCAAGAATTTAGTGCTTGAATGGTAGTGAGGTTGGTCTAAAAATATGCCGCTTCTTCACTTCCTCAAGCACTGTCATGCCCCAAAAAAAAAGGGTCACTGGCACAGGATTTGAACCATATCACATATCCCTTAAGCCCAAAATTAAAACATCTTTTCATTTTAAAACATAATGTAAAATTGTATTGAAAATTATGACATACTTCATCAAAAAATCATTATAATAAAAGTTTTAATATTTGTAGAAATTTTACAGCACAATATTTTACATAAAATATAGTATCAATCAGGAGCTCAACTCCTTCCAACTAGTAGACCACATATATTAAAGTAAAAACCTAACTATAGGCTACGTGGAGCACCTAATCTTACTTCCAAAATAAAATACATGAATTCTAATATTTAAATGAAAAGGAGATAATGCTAAGCAAAATTCCACTTGGAATAGTTGTACACCATTCAGAGGTCAGTAGTAGAATCAGCATTAGCTAATGAATCTGAGACCAAAATCAATTTTTAGAGAATAGCATCCCAATAATAAATAATTAAATATGTATAAAAAGAAAGTTAATATAATTATGTGTGGTAGAGATAACAATTTTCGCATTCAAATATTTAATAAACTTTAGCATAAAAGGGCTCTATGTAATTTTAAATAAAATCTTAATTCATTAAAGTATCATATCAAACATCATTATCATGCAATTTCAATAAAGTAAATAACCGCATTAAATAATTATAAATATGTCACTAATCAAAAATAATAAAAAATAGATCAATCAAATAATTAAAAACTCATAATTTTAGAGACTTATCAGAACAAGTAACAAACATGGACACACAGTCCACAAGGATAAATAACTAAATGCTGCTTATGCCATGAAAACAAACGGGGACACAATCTACAAGGGTAAGTAATCAAATGCAACTTGAGTTATAAAACAAACGTGGATACATGGTCCACCAAGGTAATGCTAACCAAACATGGCTCAGAGTCACAAAATCAAACATGGCTATTAGACCCGTAAATAACAAACATGAGAAGAAGGCTCATGAAATTCAAACTAGCTAGTTATTAACCAAGGCACTAGGGGCTAATGGAATTACCACTAGCAACCGGTGTTCTGTATAAAGTCCATTTCAAACCCAATTTTAAACATGTGATTAAATAATCACTATTAAATAAAATTTTCATTTTCAATGTCGAACTTACATGAATCGTTTTCTATATCAATCCAATATATGATAGAATGAAATCTCATAATCAAAATCCAAACTTATATTTATTGATTGATTAAATTTTCAAAACTGATTATCCAATAAAATGTACTATTTTATTAATTTCACAAAAGAAAAAAGTGTAGTCAACAAATTATCCAATAATCACATCATTATTATTAAAATGATTTGTATAAAAATGTAATGTTTTAGTAAAGAAAATTTTTTTATTAGAAAGTCAGTTGGGACACTATCCACTTACCTGAAATTTTTAGAATTCAAATATTTCCTCTCAACTTTAATCAAATTTCTCCTCTTCCAAACACCCTATAAATCATATTAAAATTTTATTCAACTCTCAGTTAGTTCAACAATTTCTTTTCAACATTCTCATTGATAATTAACTATAATAAATTTGAAACTTTATAACTAAGGCTTTAAATTTTTTTAAAAATATTCCTCATTAGCATTTTGTCAAATCACCAAATATATATCATTTACAATCCATTCATAATAAAAAAAGCTCCAACGTTCAAATATTTCATCAACAAACTATCCATCTCCAAGATTTCAAATAATCACATTGTTAATTTCATAGTTAAATATCCTTGTAGCATCCAAATTAAAATTCATACTTCCCATAAGAATTAATGAAACTCCATTAACATTCAAAAAGAAGAGAGAAAAAACCAAGTTCCATTTCTTCTAACAAGCATTTCAACAAACATCTTATAGTCATCATTCTTCACGTTTCATATCTCATCTCTTCTAACTTTATCCTAACAAAATCTTCTCTATCAACCATTTAAACAAAATGAATTTAACTCAAAAATTATGATCATATGTATATCTTTATCAAGCATAAAGATGAATTTTTAGCTCAAATTTGATTTCTTTTATATAGCATGACAACAACATAACTTAATAGAGAGATTTGCAATTTCAATAATGTTAATCACACTTCACACGCACTTGTTAATTAAGGGGAGAAGAGATCAAAGCAACTCATTTTTAAATGAACCAGAGACGCACAAAGAGGGAGAAGAAGCAAAACCTCAGCTAAATAGGAGGAGGATTCAGCAACAGACCTCTAACAAGCAATTCAAAATCTTACATGCTCCCCTTCCCATGAATTGACTTAGATCACATTAATGAAAACTAGAAGGAACAAGAGGCTTTATATCATGAATCTTTGGAAAAATGGGTAGAGAAAATAATGAAAAATCAAAGAAAGAACTCACAATAGTGGTGAGCTAAATGGCAATAGACTTTCTAGCGACGATGGCTCACACAAACAACATGATCGGTGACTAGGAAGGGAGAAGGCAAAATCAATAGATGGTATGGAAAGGGTTTTGTGCTTAGCTCTCCAACTCTTTCTCTCTACTCAGAACATAGGAAGAAGACAAGAAAAGAGAGTAAAAAAAATCTAGTTGAGATACGAGCATTTTGGTAACTACATAAGGTATAAAAACAAAAATGAAACTCCTGATGGCCTTACTCAGATTTGAACCTGGGACCAAGTGGGAGGATATTTACACAGCTTCCACTACACTAATACTCCTTCTTGTCATAATTATCCCAAAATTAATATGACTACAATTAAAGCAAAATATTATATATTAAATTTTTACTTAAAATTCCTAGGTTATTACATTCTCCCTCTTAAGAAATTTGGTCCTCTGAATTTAAATTTATGCTTACCTCAATCGTCAAATAGGTATAGATACTTAGCATGCATGTCAACTTCAACTTCCCTTGTAGCTTCCTTTTGAGAATGGCTATGCCACAACACTTTCAACGAAGTAATTTCTTTCGACCATAACTTCCTTACTTGTCTACCCAAAACAGTCACTGAAACTTCTTCGCATGATAAATCTAGGTCTATTTGAATCCCTTAAGTTTCTATCACATGAAAAGGGTTATATGAGTATTCCTGTAGCATTCATACTTGAACATTAGAAGAATACTAGACAATTTAGGAGGTAGTGCCAAACAATAGGCAGCTGCACCAATTCTTTCTAAAATTTCAAATGGATAAATAAACCTTCTTGCCTTTCTTTTTGAATCTCATTACCCCTTTTATCACAGATACCTTAAGAAATACTTTATCTCTGACCATCAATTCTAACTTTCGATGTCGGTTATCAATATAAGACTTCTGTTGACTTTAGGTTGTTATTAATCTTTCTTTAATTATTTTCATTTTTTCAATAGCATCTTGTACCATATCCGGTCCCAAAAGCTTAGTATCACCAACATCAAACCATCCAATAGGAGATCTACATTTCCTGCCATAAAGCATTTCATACAAAGCCATTTGAATTCTGGCTTGATAACTGTTATTAGAAGAAAACTCCACCAATACTAAATAGTGATCCTAACAACCACCAAAATCTAAAATACAAGATCTTAACATATCTTCTAGAATTTTGAATAGTTCTCTCAAACTGATCATCTGTTTGTAGGTGAAAAGAGGTACTAAGATACAGTCAAGTGCCCAAGGCCTCTTAAAATGATCTCTAGAATTAGGAAGTAAATTGAGGACCTTTATCAAAAATTATTAACACTAGAACTCTGTGTAATTGAACAATCTCATTAATATACACTTTAACATACTTGTCAACTTTATAAGTTATCTTCACTAGAATAAAATGAGTTGATTTAGTCAATCTATCAATGATAACCTAAATAGAATCGTATCCTTTCATAGTAAG